ATATATATATATATATTTATATGTGTATATATATATACAATAGATATATATATATATATAAGCTAACTTTACACTATGGTTGTCTATCTTTGCAGGGCATGCTTTTTATTTAGTTGCGCCTGACCTTGGCCTTACATATTTAACTGCTCTTGAAGTAATCCGGATTCCGTACAGTTTCGTAATCAAAGTTACTGCTAGATCGCTAGGACTAAATTATTATGTATCCTGACTGCGAGGGTTCTATTTTTGTCCGATACAGCCATAGACAAATCACTATTCTTGCCAAAAAGGACTAGATTTTTCGGATTTACTTCCAAATAATTTAATTGATCCGTTGTGTCTTCGAAATAGCTTAGCCTATTTCCAGGTAGACCATAGGGGTTTAGAGTATGATTTCGAAGCCACTGCACTTCATTTATCGGTTTTGTGTGACGTGGATGAGTTGCGCTACACACTCTTGGAGCAACATCTCAGACAATTCACGCTTCTCCCCTAGCTAAGCACAGTTTGTCCTCCCCGAAAAACCTAGTTTGTTTTCAAATGCAATACTTCTATCCATACAGAGGCGGATAGACCACTATGCCTTAGCAGTCCCGTGTGGCATGACCCTTGGGGGTCTCATTCTGTTAGCCATAGGTACATCTACCAAAGCGTTACGCATAATATGCGTGTGTCTGCTGTGTGTGGGAGGATGCTCGCTCGTAATGGGGTTGATGGCTCTATTCGCACTGTTTCTTCTGACCAGTGCTGTGGAACCGAGCGGGTATGTATGTAGTGTTTGTGTTTTCTGCGTGTGTTAGGACGCTCGCTCGTAGTGGATTTGATGGCCCTTGTCGCTTTTTCCCTTATGACGAGTGTGGTATGATCCAGCAAGTATGCATATACTTTTGTGTGCTTGTTGGTGTACGTACACGTGTCTTCTTGTACACAAGTTCGTACGTGTGCAAGTATTTGTATGTACTTAATATATATTGCTATGATGCGCATGTCCTTTGTGTATGCTATATTGCCTGCGCTTGATGGGAATACTGACCCCTTTTCGCTATGTCGCCATGACCAGTGCTATCGGTTCCAGTGCGTAAGTTCGCGTTTACATTTGTTCACGTATTCTTGTGTGTGTACGTGTACCAGGGGTTCGCATGGCTTTCCATATTCTCTTTGCGTCAAGCCCAGATAGCGTTTGTGCGTACGTTTATTCTGTTGTACGTACACGTGTACATCTCCTAGTGTAGCTCCATCCTATACCCATCGCATGCTCACTCTCTGTCCACAAGCTGAGGTTTTTAACATCGCTGCTGATGAGACACACTCGTGTTCTTTGTCATAACCCTACTAAACCTAGTTTGTCTTCTTTTGTATTCAATCTTCATTATTTTTTCCCATATTATTCAACACCCAAAAACCACTCTTACGAATACCTGCCGAAGAAACACATACCAAATTTACGAGCATATAGTTATGGCATCATTCGTATATTCACATAATCACAGGCTTTATGACGCACGTACGCGTGGCCTAGGTGCCACTTACATATACACCTTCACAAACTGCTTATATTGTATACACTCCAATACCCAAGACTCATGCCGTACATGCACATGTACACAGCATGGACCTGTCACGCCAACGAGTAGTGGAGACTATCTTAGGTGCCTTCTTCGACACCTCAGCTGTGGGTGAGTATGTGCATCAGAGATTGGGTCAGATGACAGTGTCATTGCAACTGGCTGAAAAGACGCGGCAACTGATGGAGAGCCCGGAAATGGTAGGTGGGCGCAATGGGTAGTAATTCAATTAAACCTTAAAACCTGGTTTTGATGGATTGGCATCTGTATTTAGTCTGTTGAGTGTTGAAGCTATTGTCATTGGAGATGCATATAAATCCGTGTGTAACTACTACTTTTTGTATATACATGCGTGTCTACACGTGACATACTCTGGGTTTAGTGTGAATTCCCTGCGCTGCTAGATGGACTTAATCACATATCTAACAGCTAGTGGGCCTATTAAAATAATGCACCTGGTCATTGGTAATGATTTCATAGGTTATGCAGATCAATCGACGAACAACCTAACTAAATTTATTTTGATTCATATAGCTAGCCTGGTAGTGGGTCCTATCATCTGAACATTTCTTAACTTTCCTCGATTCTGATTGGTTATACTCTCAGGATGACATCATATCCTCGTCCTGGCGAGAGTTTGTTGATGGTCCTGACGGTCAACTGATGACGTCACTTGGCATAGATCTGGAGGAATTCACTCCCATTGTACGACCCCTTTTGATAGGTGTGTCAATGACCCTACAAATCGGTCGTTCCTATCAGTGATAGTGTATATAATATTATAAAGATCGTCCATATGCTGGCCTATATAAACAATGTAGATACCAGCTCTCATTGTATGTATTGCTGTGATGATGGGCTTCTATATCAGGTATACGCACACCTCTCGCCCCGTGATAGCTCAGAGCAGATACAAGCGAGAACATCACTAGGCCGGACCATACATACATGTCTCCTACGGTTTTGGTTAATTATATTCCGAATAGGTGCAACTCTACACTGACCAGCTCGCCTCTTAAAAATGCTCCTATATAATGGTCGCAGAGCAGTACCTTATATTGAACCCTAGTGCACACCACCACTTGTGCGAGCATGAACAGGTATTTGCTACACAGTCTCCTACACACACTTGTCCGGCTTTTCTCGCATAAGCGCCCCCAACACGTACCGAACTGGCTTCCGTATTTCACACAAGCACACATGAATCGAAGAGCAGGATTCCACTTTGACAGATATACGCCTGAGCAAGCTTGGAAAAGAACAATAGTACTCTATCATATCAAGACCTTTGTGCATGCAGATGACACATCAATTGCACTATACCCAACCCACACAGGTGTCATTTGCGACCTTTGCCCCGCCATTCTCGAAGAGGCGCGGCCTACTACCCACCGATTGGCTCGCCTCCTAGAGACCCACACCCAAACATTCATTGCAGAGCGCTTAGAAGTGCTCCATACGCACGCTATCACACGCCAGATGGCTTCGGCTGTGCGACCTGAGCTGCAGATGATTGTGGTGCATTTCGTTGTGGCTGGAATGTTGGTCGGAGTATGCGCAGCAGGTGTGTGGGTAGAGATGATCAACAATTTTTTATACATTCAAATGTCACAGCCCATAACAAACATTTATGAAACACATGTACATACGCAACCATTCTCAAATTATGTACCCCTTTTCTGCCCAGCTGCGCTGTTGCTTAATCTACGCAACTCCGAACCGGATCCAGACAGCCCGAACTCCGGGAACACCAACAGTGGTAGCATCATCGTTCATTTAGTCTGTCACGTGATGAAATACGTCGCCCCCTGTTCTGACGAACAAATTGCGTTGCTCGAGTCCAGATACTGATTTTCCGGCCGATCTGCATTTTTTCCAATCAACCGCACCGGCAGTACGGCCGATTGCCTAATCCGTCAGGTGTGAGAATAAGTCATGCTTCCAGACATGCATTCATCTATTTCGAGTCCATCAAACTATAGATCTATTTGCGCTATTAAGGCTATCTGTAGATCTAATTATGCTATTAAGGCTAACTATAGATCTAATTACGCTATAAGGCTAGCTATAGATCTAATTGCGCTACCTAGTGCGATCTAATTGCGCTATCTAGGGCTAACTATAGATCTCTGATGACCGTATAAGTCGTGCTCTCTCCTAGCTACCGACACCAGCAGGAAATGCGATCGCCACATTTGCTATGGGATTGGACACGTTGCCTCTAGATGTCCCAACCAGTCTCCGAACTCACCGTGACACTGAGTGACGCCATTGACAGTGTAGCCGGAAGGAGAGTATCTCAGGCCACCGTAGGTGTCGTAAGGGCTGTCAACCCAACCGTACAAATGGGAAACGCCGAAGAGAGCAATAGAGGTGAATACATCAGCTGTTGCGTGATCAACTAGGTCATCGATGTTAGGCAACACATCTTGCCCCACTCTGTGGAAATGTTGATAGCTTCATTTACTACTCGAGTCGGAGTTACTAGGTTTGGAATGATGGATTTGTGCTTGTAAACCCGCCACGTGATCAAGTATCTTGGCACTGACCAGACATGAGCAGGAGAGGTTTGCTTCTGTACACAAATAGCCAAGATGTCGCAACTACCGACCCTCCGAAAGTTCGGAACCACCGACAATGGCATACAACTTGTTCACTCAGTGCATCGTATGATCAACTACCCCATTGCTGGCTAGGGTCAATGGAATCCTCTCTATATCGACCATCTTGAGTATACGGAAGTGCTTACGGGAGCAGTGTACTCGATCACTTAATCCTTTGCGTTGTTCAATGTCGGGATGCAAAAGTATTCAATTCGGTTTATCGAAACAGACTTTCTTACTTCTCTCTCTATACTGATCGAATCAAGGTGATCGTAGATGTTTTCTATATTCGAATAAACAGTAGGCCATCACACTCCCTATTATTCGAATATGTAGTCAATAATTAATGTACACAAACCTACGCTCCCCGTACAGCGGAACTCAGTACAGTAGTGAGACTATCGTTGGCTCCCCAATCGATTTGTAACTGTGAGTCATCTTCGCAATCTCGCAGTTGCTAGCTACAAAACTAGCGAAAAGCTACAAGGATAGAATTTATAATCAGTTTGACCAGACGTTACATGACCACCGTTATATCAGTGTACACTTAACCACCCTCGTGGTCAGATGGGCAGATAGCCCATAGCAAACCAAGCTATAGAACTGAATTTACGGATGCATGCCAACTATTTCCCCATTTATTTATTGATCATGCCTTTTCACACAGTTTGAAATTGATTTGAAGCGTTCAGTCCGGATCGGGAATGTTTTACACATCTCCACGCACATTATTTTTTTAAGTATCCTTGTGTCCGTATATGCAAATATTGTATGGTGTATGAATACCACTAAAAAATGCGCGTAACCATACGAATTTTANATATCGGATATATATATATATATATATATATATANACTATATAGTATATATATATATATATATATATATATAT